ACTCAACATTAGTCATCATCAAGAGGGTAACATCTTGACAGGAAAGACAGAGCAAGCATAGTCATCAACTCCCATCTGCTGACTCCTCCCTGCTCTCCTGTTTCATTCCTCAGATTGCCTCTCCAGACCAAAAGACATAAGTCTCCTATATTTATCTGTCTGTTTAGTGCAAGAGAAGGCAAGTCAGATATGCAGTGGAGATAGATAAAGTGGTCTAACACATATATCATCTCCCCCTATCCCCCTCACTCTGCACACAAACACCAATATTTACTGTCAGTACCTGCATTCACTAGTTTTCCCAACCGCCCCAGCACTCATTGATCTGGGTCAAGCACACACATACTTTGATTAACACAGCCCTGACCCAATTCTGTCCCCATCTCGTATGTACAGATTCTGTAAGTAGTTTAAAACGTACACAATTGTAAGGGCATTAAATGTTTATCAGTATGGGTGGTTTATTGAGGGCATAAGCTATTTAGTCTGTACAGTGGAAGATCTACGTTCGAATCCGCTACTCTAGCGATCAAGAATGGTAGAACTAAGTGAGATCACACAGCCGATATGGATTTCTCTACAGCAGTGACTACTTTACAGACAACATTCTAGGTACTCGTAAACTATAATTAACTTACCCAAGCATATGTAAAAACTGAAACATTTCCAGATTGCCTTGAAAATTGACAGTATACAGGCACAGATTAACACATCTGGAGGCTTGAGAAGCTGGCAAGGAGAATGGCGTCAGTTAGACATTTCAGGCGTTGGTACAAAAGAAGTTCCTTGTATACTGGGGCAAGGAGTAAATCGGTTTCCAAGAAACCTCAATTAACTCCCTAAATATATCCCCAAAAGATATACATTTAAAAGTGGAGTTTAGTTAAAGTACCCAGAAAAGGCAGACATAATAATGTTGTCCAATACAGGCCTATATATATAGATATAAGGGACTATATATTTCTGGGCGAGTCCAAGTTTGAATTTTGTGCAGATTACAGGTAAGACAGGTTATCAGCCTTACAAACCGATGTATAATGACTATCATTTCACGACAGTACCCCCCCCCCCCCCCCAAAGGGAAGAGCGTACTACGCGAATGAAAAATGATCAGCCATTTACACATCTATGGACTCACTACTTTCAGCTTGCTCATCACCTTCAGTCTGTGAATTATCAGACAAGGGATGGCGGCTCAAGAAATCTGCTCTGAATCAAAGGGTTGACCAAACCAACCTCTCAGAGACAGATGAAATATATACAATAATGACAATTCATGTGAAAATAGAGAAACCTATGACCACTATACAATACTACTGAACAAGGAATCTATATAGAATCAGTCGATGGCCCTGAAGACCTAAGACTGATGACTCCATCCATGTATCACTGATCCCTGCCAGGTACATGCAAAGATGTAGGTTCAGACCGAACCCCCCGATCGGGTTGGCTGAATAAACCTACACACCATCCTGGTACTCCTGTCATATTCAGGAAATATACCGGTGTGTCTCCTACATCATTAGTCACACAGGAAGGTCGTCGAGGCATGTGGGATATAATCCCTCCCGTCTGATCCTTCGCGAGGTTCGGAAGGATAATCCTCCCCTCGTCACTATGTGCTCCAACAAACACAGGAAGGAACCCTGGTGTGAATTGAAAATTCTTCACCTTCTGGTCCTCCTGATGGTCTGGAGGTTTACTCCATTCCTCTTTAAAAAGAGGAGCTTGCACAGGGCATTGACTGAAAGGCTCAACAGGAACCAATGTCGTATTATACTCCAATAATGAAGTTTGCCCTGGCTTAACTCTCAGGACAGAGTTACACTCTGACAAGAGTGGTTCTATAGCTTGTTTCTGAGAGACAGAGAGAGTTGGGTTAACCTCTACATCTTTATAAGTCTCCCTGGGGTGAAGAGGATATTCCACAGCTGTGGCTTCTCCACCTTCCACCTCCATAGCTACAGAAAGTGTCAAGAGGGTCGGTGTGTCACTTACCTCTCTCACGTTGTATTTCCGGAGGAGATTAATGTGATAGACCTTTGACTTACATTTAATGTTGATCTTATAATGGATCCTGGATATCTTCTCTACCACCGTATAAGGGCCTCCCCAAGCTAACTCTAACTTAGACTTCCCTGATGGTAGCAGCAAAAGCACCCTATCTCCAACCTCAAGACATCGCTCCTTCGTCTTCCGGTTGAAATGTGCAGCGTACCTCTTACGTGCACGAATCAAGTTCTCTTTGGCCAGGTCCCACCCTAGCTTTAACCTTCCCTTGAGTTCCTGCACATACTGTGATATGGTTTTCAAGGAATCATCTGCCCCTTCGTCTGTCCATGTCTTCCTGAGAATGGCCAAGGGTCCAGAAATGGGTCTTCCGAACACCAAGGTCGCAGGTGGAAATCCAGTAGAGGCATTGGGTACTTCCCGGTAGGCGAATAGTGCTGCAGACAGATACTCGTCCCACCTCTCTGGCTTTTCCTGTGTTAATCTTCTCAGAAGCTATACCAACGTTCCATTGAACCGCTCATTCTGGCCGTTCGCATGGGGTCGGTATGGACTGGTGCAAATGTGTTGAGACTTGATTATCTGAAACACTTCCTCCATTAGTTTCCCTTTAAACTGAGATCCATTGTCTGTCAGTATCTGAGAAGGGAATCCCACTCTGGTGAAAATGCTCATCAATGCCTCTGCCACCGTCTTACTGTCAATCCTCCGAAGTGCAACAGCCTCCGGATACCCTGAACAACAGTCGACCAAGGTCAATATGTAAGCATTCTTCTTCTTTGTGAGAGGAAGTGGTCCAACCAAATCGACCGCCACCCTTTCAAAAGGTGTGGAGGTGACAGGGGTTTCCCCCAGTCCGACTGGTGCATTCCTGCCTTTGGGAGCTACCTTCTGGCACTCCGGACAGGATTTGACATAACGCATGATATCTGCTGGACATACCTGGCCAAAAGTAATGGCAGGCAATGCGTTGTGTCGTTGCATGTATTCCCATATGGGCACTATAGCCTATAGTGTGCCCCATCTGGAGAATCTGCTGTCTATATGTTTTGGGTTAAATAAATCGTCCGCAGCTGGGATCGAACTGGGCACCCCGGCTTTACGAAGCGCGTTCTCAACGCCTAAGTCACAGACGCCGACAATAAACAATAACGAAATAGTAACATTCGAATCTTTTCTCTCATCTAAGGAACGGTAGATTTAAAAAAAAAAAAGAAAAAAAAGTGCCGTGTGCTATATATTTAAAAGAAGTGCTCTGCAGTGGGAATAAAAAAAATAGAAAGTACTAGATTTACACCTGGATAGATGTACAAGCTTAAACCCCGACCTTGGGAATACATATTGAACAATTCTTTGTCTTCCTCACAGCGGGTAACGTTTAAGATCTCTGTCTGAAGTCGCTTTACGTCTCAAGTGCAATACAGCAGTGATTCCCACCTGTGGCGGCTTGCTCTTTCCTTATAGTCCACATTTGCTTAACACATCCAAAGAGAAAAAAAAAATATTTGTAGTTTTATAAGGCATTTTCACAGTATAACATTTTTCTTACCCTACCTATGTGAAACTAAAATTTTCCATGTGCCACAAGAAAGCGGTATCGTTCTTTATAGGAATCACTGCATTATTCCATGACCTCCAGTGGAAGAACTCGTACTTGAACGAGGTAATCTTATATGCTGGTATCGTCCACCATAGAAATCGCTGCGTTATTCTTTAGTGTCCAATGGAAAAAAAAAAACACACACACTTACACGAGTTAATCTAATAAGCTATTACCATAACATTGTCAAGCATGAATAATTCATTCACACATATAAGAATGAAAATATAAAAACGTTAAATATCCACACACCCAAAGAATTTCTTCTATCGGGCTACTCCATAATCGACTACAATAGATCTTGAGTGTAAGGCATTATATTTTGTAGCACCATAAACTACCAGGACAGTTGCCAAAAACTGTTGATCATCATAGTCAAATATCGAATTAAATAATCAACGAGTTTCAAGAGATCACAGATTTTGGAGCACAATGAGGGAAATTGTGATATCGTGCTGCGAGCGTCACTCTGTGACAGGGTGGGAACAGGTAACCTGTCATCATCATCATCATCATCATCATCATCCTCATCATCCTCATTCATCGTCTTCACCGTTGTCGTCATCATCTCATAACACTGCAGGTGATTAAGTCACTATGTGCTGCTGTCTGTCTGTTCAGGACCGTATGTCTCGGTCGGTCATATGCAGTTGATTTAGTCGACTGCATATTTAAGATCCTTCCAGTCAGCCACAGTATGTAGCTATGCTTCTCCTGGTATAGAACCCATGTATACTGTTTAGGGCTGGTAAAATCATTTGTCCAAGCATAAAATAAAGACTCATGTTTGAAGTTTGAAGTGGAACAACTGATCAACATCATGGCCCACGGGTAGTAACCCATAAGTGTTCCGTTCTATCTTCTAATTTAAGTCTCAGTCCGAAGAAGCTCAGCACAGTGCACAGGCTCTGTAGCACTGGCGAGTATCCTAAAATACTTTGGTTAGATTTTTAACTTCTAATTTTTTGCCTGGGCAACGCCATTAGACTATTCTTTTAAATTTCCAACTGACAAGGGGATTTTTTACAGGCGCAAACAATGCAGAGATCATTGAAAATACTAGAAGTTCAAGTCCACGTGAAAAAATTCCAGTCCTTACCAGGGATTGAACCCGGAACCTCTAGCCCCCGAGGCGGACACCATGCATCGAGACCTCGCAGCCCCTAAAGACATGTTAAGAATATCAACATAACATCTAGCAGCAAAAAGGCTTTAGTGGAAGATCATGGCGCTTGTTATCATTCAACTTTTCTGCATTTCCCCCCAACCCCAGAGTAATTAAACAATGTTTAATTAAGCCTATACAGCGTAACATTTTTATAAACACTCTTACACCTGTTGACCTCATTCATTATAACATATAGATATACATAAACGCATCACCTCTTCA